CATTCTTTCTGCTTGTTCCCTGATCGTGGGTTTTCCCCTGTCTCTTCCTTTCAAATTAAATGATACACTATGTATTTCTTCTGGCAGGCTGCTTCTAGCACACCACTGTGGTCTAACACAGACAGTAGAATTAAGTTACCAAAAGCCTTGATTCTCCCACGCCAATGTGCAGCTACCTGAAAATTTTCACCTAGCCTGAGCTCATTACTACCCTCTCTTCATTTTCAGTAAAGGACGAACTGGGCATCTCCTCTCAATGCCTGGAGGTATTGAGGCGCCCCCTGCTCTACACACAGGATGAACGACACGATGGAGGCACATCCCCTCTCTGTAGAAAGGGAGAGCGAAGAACGAATTCATACAAGGTGCTTAATTTGAACAGGACTAAAGATGGATGAGAGGAATCCCAGCTTTGCTGACTCTTTTCTTTCAGCCTGCTCAGTCTGTATCTTCTTACTCTGCCTGCAGGGGTTTGGTTGTTTGGGTTTTTTTTCATTTAAATGCTGAGCCAAATGCTTCTATTACAACCGGTTAGAAAGGCATCTGGATCAGTCATTTATAATGCCAACTCTCAATTAGGCTGGCCGGCAAACTGGGGAAGCAGTACCTCCTGCCCCCAGTACACTTAAATTCAGAAGACTCTATGGCCTCTTCTTTGGGCACTGCTGTGGCAGTAGAGCCAGTGCAGCTTTTCGGCTACCACAATGAGAAACACTCGTAGGAAAATCCAGAGCTCCATAATGCAAATATTGCTTCTGGTTTACTCAAACAGAAGACAGTCACAGAGAACACTGTTGTGATTCACTCATTTCCAAAGCAAATATAGACTTCCTATTTAAGGAACAGCAGATTTTTAGGGCCCTCAATTAAAATTATTTGTTTGAAATTGAAGTCAAGCAGCCAAAGCTCAGAAATTACAGATTTCAAGTTCCTACTCTAGCCCTTTTTTTTTTTCCTCCTTGTGGGAAGCTATTCTGTACAATGAAAGGAATCGGGGTCCTATGTGAAAAACAGGGCATAACCAGACAACTAAAAATAGGAATGTAAAATGCCCAAAGCAGAGGAAATGAGCCCAGTGCTTAACAACTGCCTCTTGACTTCATAAACCACCAGGTTCTTCCAGGGCAGTCGCATACACTCTTCCTGCTTATGCAGAAAAAAAATCCTACTGTATTCATTTGTACCCTACGCCCAACATTTGAAAGATTTGAAATGGGGAAGAACGTGCCTAGTCTGCACATGAGATGGCTCTTGGTGCTGCCTAGGGGTGGCCCGCTCCTGCCCCTGCAGGCAGTGATCCTGCTCAAAGGAAGGAGGCAAAGAAAACCTTCCAAGGAAGAGTTTTCAGCTCAGCCTCAGCTTTCCAGAGCTTCCTTGAGACAGCCCTTGGCCCGTGTCCTTATGCACCTTCTGCCTTCAGGTCCACCTCTCTGGCTCCTTTTACTCAGACTCTGTGCCCCAGTGTCTGGGCACCTTTCTGTAACCCCTATAGTACCCTCCAGAGCAGCCCAGCTCCTTGTCGACGCAAAGATGAAACCCGCTACAGGAAGGGCACAGTACTGCAGCATGGTTTATCTAAAGCATACCAGCCTTGATGGGCTACCTGGAGACACAAACAACCCTCTGGTACCAGCATACTACCTCAGCCAGCCTCTACTGTGCACACAGCGGACTATCTGCCCACACTTTGGAATCCACGAAGCTTTTGTTATAGTCTGCATCAGGCAGATCCATCTTATCTGTCTTGTGCTTGGTTCCCCTCTGGGCTCCTCTTTTCCTGCTATTCCATCCTTAAACAGGCTTGTAATTCGTGTGGTTTCTCTGGCACCCATTCTGCACGGTTCAGTAGTGTTCAACTCTCACACAGCATGTCAAATGCTACGTGTCTGAGCTGTTCTTTCCTCAGGTATGTTCCTTTATTCAATTCTACACAGCTTCTCCATTCCAGGTCAAACAACGTAGTAACAATACTCATACACTCCTAGTTTCTCTTCCCGTAACATCTCTGCTACCTGGAGAAAACATTCTGAAAGCTGAAGAAACCCTCCTTACCTACCATGTCTGTGAGATCACACACTTTGTGTTTCTCTCATTCTTGGAATAGTGTCATCCAGTGGGTTCAGAGAGGAGAATAGGGGGAGTCCATTTCCATCTCATTTCTTCTCCTTCTAGTATTGGGGAGTCTCTTCCCCCTGTGATACTCTGAGGGTGAGGAGGAATAGGGGACTGGACTTGTACTGAAGATGAGATAATCTAGGTGAGATTCCCATTCCCGTTTTCCCACTCCTCTCCTCCTCCTCCAGTAACTTGTCTGTGCTCTCCCAGTTCATGGTTTGCTCCGCTCTCTTGGCCTAGGTGTTTTGAACACTCAGGTAAAGGTGCTGCCAGCCTCCTCCTGAGGAGTGTGAGAGAGACTGGGAAAGGGGATATTCCTGATGAGAACTCAGCTGGTCTAAACAGCAACCCATGAAACACCTGAGAAGCTGCAGGGCTCAGCCCCAGCTGAATTTAAAGATCTGCTGTGGTCAGCAGACGTGTTGGATCTCTTCATAAAGTGAACCAGCTACGGTTCTAACACTGAACAGCGTTAGGCAATTTGCGTGGAAAGGCCAATTTGCAGACCCATTCAGTTACTTAAACTGTGATTTTAGGGAATACAGAGAGGCCTTGACAGGTGGCACACAGCAATTTTTGAGCTTTGCTCTCAGATTCAAATGCAAAACGGCACTCGCCTGGTAATGAACCATTCCTGGCTCAAGGTCGAAAAAAGTCTTCCCAAATCACTTCGCAACAAACCTATTCAGTTGTTCACCATTCAACTTCCAGTTTGTTTAGCCCATCTGCTAGGCCCCTGATCTTTTGATACATCTAGCATGTGGTTTGAAGATCCTCTCATATTTGTTTATCTCTGTTTCTGATATCTACTTTTCTGGAACTGCCTGGGAACGGTGATGATGGAGAAGGACCCAGCAATGGGTAGCAACTGCATGAAGGAAAAAAACACTCACAAAACTCATGTAATTTAAGCACAAAAGTGAGATTTCTTTCTTCTGTTTGTTTCAAATCCTACAGTGAACTATTTTAACACAAAAAGATGATCAGCAAAGATAATTTCTGAAATTAGAATGCAAGTTGATGGAAACGTACATGGCCCTGCTTGATCAAAATCCCAACAAATCTGAACAAGATGTCAACATTGTCCAAGATCTGTCTCTTCTTTAACATACATAAATCCCTCCTGAAAGACTCTTTTCAGATCTGCAGAAACAAATGAACTATTTTTTGACTTCACAGAGTTTCCAAAAAGAACTACAACTGTTAGCAACTTAACAGGAACCAAAAATGACAGGCTGACTAAAACTGCCTTAAAAAAAAAAAAAAAAAGCAAATTATGTCAGAGATTTACCAGCCTGTAAAATCAGTGGTACTGTAAGCAAGAGATATGAACTGCCACAGTACTTAACTGTTCTGGCAGAACAACATAAATCTGCATTCATCTGGCCTGGATTTGAAAGAAGTAATAGCAAACACCAACTCTACCCAAAAAAAGCCTTCCACCTGTGGACTTTATAGAGTACTTAACCTCAGTACCCGTCTCTGACACAGCAGCACCACTGCTTACCTTGGGGCCACACAAGGAGAAGATAATATTTCCACAGATGCTTTGCAAGTTGAAGAAAATCCCAGAGCCACATGTATGTCATCACCACCATCAAAACCAACAAGAAATTATAAGGCTGATAAACAAATTATTTCTCTTCCTTTCCAGTTGCTTTTTCTTACAATTTGTCTTTGTACTGAATAGGTATCTCTTCAGGTATACAACAGAAAGCTGTTTCAGGTACTTGCTGTTTTCTACGTTAGCTTTTCTTAAAATACAAGATTATCTTCATCCTCATCATCCAGGAAGGAAAGTGAACATCAAGTATTTACCACAATCTGTTCAATATCCTACAGGAGTCTGTCACAGAGTCAAGACTTGAGCCCATACATGTTATTTCCTAGTCTAACCTTTCCACACTAAGCACGTTCGAAGAGCCAGTCTGTCTCCTATTTTTTCATATTCAACCTTGTTGAAAATTCACCTTGAATATACACTCCTCTACACATTGCCCATTAGATGCTCAGCCCTTGAGCCTGGGAAGCTGTTTATTCTGGGATTTCAAAACTCCCGTCACCTGCAATTGCAAAGTGGTATCTTTGAAAGGTTACAAACCTAAGCAACAGACCCAGGCAGCCAACGTGTGAAGCATGAGCAAAATCTAAAAGCTGTTTAAAAGTTTGGCAGTTTTACTTTCATTTTTCTTCCTACTCTAGGGAAAACAACAGACACTATGAGCAACTGGCCTCACAAAAGCCACACCACCGAAGAAGGGGATGCGATCGCCCTTCCTTAAAGAGGAGTGTCCTGACACGAATATACTGAAAAGGAAGAAAGTGAGGTCCCTTCCTCAACTGAAACCTGCACTTTCTAAATAAGAGAAATATGAAGTCCTGATCCACTTGCTTCTCCTCTCCTGTTCTACTGTGAAAAAGAATATCTCAGCACTGACGTCTTGCATGATCCAGCACAGGGTATTTTTCATGGGGACAGTCTTACGATATTTGGTATTTCTTCAACGACTGGTTTTGGGGGTTGAACAATTTTAAGAACAACTTTGGGTTTTATGGTCATAGAGGGAAAGAAATAATCTAGAAACATAACTAAGCATAACCTAAAAGATCTGTGAACCAAGCAAATAACTCAATACGCCTTCTTTCTGAAAGTTTTATGATACTCCAGAACATGATTGCAAATGTCTTAACATTTAGGTTTCAAAACATTACCATTCAAATAACGATACAAAGAAGTACAGAGCCAACAGACTAATATCTGTAAAAAGAAAGACAGAGAAAAGTTCTTAAATTCTATATCCTACCATAGAGTTATGATAGATTAAGAAAGCTAGACGGGTTTTGTTGCGGGTTTTGTTTTTATTTAAATTATCAGGGATCCTTACCTCGAAATTCCAGCCCTCTGAGCTGAAAGGTGACAAGGCCATTTCCAATTTCGATCAAGTGCACAAAGGCATTTAAATAATCCGATGCCAGAATAAAACAGTCTCCTGTATTGTAGTTTCCCCAGCGGCCCAGAATCAAATCTCCACAAAGAGATTCCTGCAGAGATCTTGTCAAATGCTCATAAAAAATGGAGTTGAGATTATTGTCATCATTTCCTACAACCAGAGCAGCACACATTTGTTAAAAATAAAATTTATAATACATTACGCCATTCTGCATAAATTCCTATGTTCTTTTTTACTCCTGCATAAAGCCTTTTCTTCTAGCTTACTGGATAGTAACTTCTTGATACTCTACACAAACTGGATTTCCTAGGTGGCTTTCAGCCCTTCAGAGAATTAGGTCTGAAACTTTTGTTTAATATGAACAGTATTGTAAACAGAACATCAGATTAGTGATAACATATTTCAGACTGAAACAAATCACCTCCTTCGTGTCTTATAACAGCAAGAATTTTTTGGCTCCACTACAAGTCTCTGCGATGCTAAGAAATGTCTACATATTGTTCTTAATTATAAGAAACCAGAAATCATTATTTCAGTACACAAACTTAAATTTGAATATTATTGTCAAGATTTTTAATAATTTGGTCACATGGCTTCCAGTAATTTTATTGGGATTTATTTCTTTTAGTCCTCCAGAGATTTTTTCAAGGCTTTGTCTATGAAGCATCTGTGGGTACTTAATATGAGGAGAGATATTTTAAGAGAGTACACATAGTATATTGAGAAAGAATGACACAAGGTTCATTCATCACTAGAATTGCTACCACTTCTTTAAAAATAGTATCAGATGCCCAGTTACACATCACTTGGATCAACTATGCAGGTGAGTAATGTAAAGGTCTTATCCCATAAAGGTCTATGGCATTTAACTGGATTAAAATTAGCACTTTATGATGGTGATCCGTGAAAGGGAATGAATCCTTCATACACGCTAACACAGTGCCACATAACCTAATGTAGTGTTGTCTTATGTTTATACTTTTTTACATAATATATATGCTTGACATGAGAATTGCTTTTATTTTCTATATTGCATCAGCAACGCACCTTTAACACTTTTTAAATGCTGGTGCATAAGTAGATATACACATACAAACCAACATCATGTAGGTGTATTTGTATACATGAGAGCGTATGTGGATACATATGTACCTATGCATGTTTATGTACATGCATATTTGGGAGCAGATCTAACACGGAGAAAAAAAAAAAAAACAGAGGATAACAGGCTATAGATTCCCCTACAAACTGCTCCTCAATAGAAAAGGAGGAGTGGATGTGTTACTACAAAGCTTTTCATCACCGTGGCCGTTATGCATCCAGCCCTGGTTGGTATGTACATGCAGGTGCATATGTACATACAGACATACTCAACTATACACCTTCTGGAATAGTTTCGGTCAAAATCTAATTGAGTCATAAAATGAATCTTTTAAGCACACACACAAAAGGAATGTTTTGCTTGAGATATGGGTTTTAAAACATAATTAACTTACTAGAGTATATAATAATGCTAAAGGTTATTGCTATCAGATGACACAATGGCCTTGGGAAACATCTTAACTACCTGCTTTGAAATGATAAATAATGAAAGAGCACTGTATATGCCTTACACTGCTAATACTTCTCTAGCTTTCTTGGACACTCTGGATTACATCCATTTCTGCTTGAAGATGTGTATTTGTTCATGCTACTGATGGATGGGGGGATAAAAATACAACAGCAATAATTACAATGTAAACTTCTACCTCCACAGTACAAGCCCCTGACACCATTAGTGGTAAAATCAAATCAGCTGCAGAACACTAAAGCAGAAGAAACCTACACAGGAAACCCCGGCTTCTCACGGAGACCGGGATTTGGCATGAAGCACTGGTATCGGTTTCCCCTGGAAAGGGCTCTGTCCTGCCAGGTGCTAAAGAGCATCGGCTGAGGTACCACACACTCTCCATGTCCACTGACTTGCCAAAAAATGTCCTGCTTCCCCATCTCACAGGAACCGTTTGGCGCAGCCCAGGAAGGCGCTTTACATTGCCATGGATTGGAGCTCATTTAACAGACCAATCCCTGGAGAAGAAGCCCACCATCATTCCTATTTCTTTCTTTTACTCCTTCCTGCAAATTTTCCAATTTCTCTTTTCCCCCTCTCCAAAAAGGTTTCTCTCCAGGGAAGAGGAGATACCTGTCAGCCCAAACTGCTCAGTGGTAGGGGCACTGTTAATCTGCTGCTTTTTTCCAAAACCTTTTCCTCACAACAACTGACCTTTGAGTCTAGCTCGTGTGTCTGCTGCATGTTCCGCACAAACAGCAACGTTAGGATTAACCAAGCAATCCACAGCCCAGCAGCTATCTCATCAGCTACACGTAACTGAAGAGCAAGTTTATTTATCAAGTCACTTAACTTAAACTGGTGCTCTGTGACACTTAAAAAAAAATCTAGTTTGCTCACACAATGTTTAAAACCTTTGCATCATTTTAGCTTCCCAGGCAAAGCCTCAACTGTGTAAATACATCATATTTTGCAAATCAAGCGAAGCATACAAACTCCCAGGCCATACCTGCATCCTTTTCGATCTGAATTGCCAGTCTGGTGTTGGAATGGTCCGCTCTTTTGGTGCTGGAAATAAAGACATGTTGTACAGGCAATTCTTTTTTTAAAAATAAGATTCTTCCTAAAACACATTTTTATTTTCTTTTCAACTATCTTTGCATTCTATGTCTATATCATTACGCAGTTCACACTCTAATCTGTTCATCAGTTTACTCCAAGTAGGCATATATAGTTATTTAAGTTCGGTATCAGTATTGATATTGAGGCTTATCAGCACACGAAACCAAAAGTGTCTGTGTCCCCTCCTCCTTTTCCTCAAACTCTTTCTTCCCATTTTCCTTCTTGTGGGGCAGAGTCCGTTCTGAGTTCAGCATCTGCGATAATACACAACGCTATGTACTTAAATGAACTGGCTCCAGAAGCACATCAGCCAGGTGCCATCAAAACAGTGAACAGAAAGAATATTAAATCAGTCTTTGGTCCCTTCTAAGCTTTAAGGGAAACAGCTGGACTCAAGAGGTTTTCTTTGTGTGAAAATATATCTGTGGGTGTATGACATCTATGGGAAAACAACAACAAAAAAATCACTTCACTTAGTTTCATACTTAGCTAGGCAGCAATGAGAGAGTCTCTGGTCATTCTTATCACTTGAAAGAGTAAATTACAGGGTCTTATTCCATACAGACAGGAACTCGGCCTCCCGTATGAGTGACATACTCTCCACTCAGTATTTTCGTTGTAGTAGTGGAACATAAATACCATGGGAAAAACGGTCACGGAACAGAAAGTAACTAAAAGGTAGATTGGATTGAGCTTTTATTCCTACCTGTAATGAAAGACACTAACAAAGTCTGAAAATAAGGAATGAGTAAATCACTGTGGGCAAGTGTCCAACAGAAGAGAGTGGTGGTTGTGGTGACTAGGGATGTTCAATGCCAGAAGCACAAAGCATGTCCCAGGCCTTCAGGGTACAAGTGAAAGCCTGGCTAACAAACATGCTATAGGAAATATAAATTTCCCTGAAATACTGCTCTGGCAGTGGTGCTTTAGTGTTTCAGGACACCTAATTAAGAATATTGCCTCAAAAACGTTGCCCTCAATCACTAGCCTAACAGAAGGTCAGATATGTAAACATTATCATTCCTTGGAAAATAGGGTTAAAACAGAACACCAGGAATGACAAAGCTGTTTGACATAAACCACAGTCAGCATAAGGTTACATGTGACAGTGGTGAGAGTCTCATCTGTTCATCAGCCAGAAAACACAGGGGAAAAGTGCCAAGGCACCAGCTCTCCTGGCACGGGAATCAACGGAGACACCCAGGCATGGTTCTTGTCATGTCCTTTGTCAAACTGTGACAAGGGCGGCACAGCCAGGTGGGACTGGCTGGGGTCTGGCTCATTAGGGTGAAGCACAGAGCATAGTGGAGATTTTGAATGGGCTGATGGTTGGCCAGTCAACTTGGAAAGTTCGAATTTAGCCACCCTCTATGAGAACTTAGACACGCCCCAAGGAAGACTGCAGCAAAGAGGGTACAAGTTATATGGGAGGCTTTCAAACACCTTAAGTAACACCAAAAAAAGGATGGTCTAAACCCAGGGTAATGTTGTCTTCGAAGCACAGCAGAGACTCTCTGGGAGTCTCTATGTCCTCATGGCAGCAGTGGCTCCCAGGATTTTGTGTGTCAATATACAAGTCATTTAAAAGGTTGGAAGTTTTTAGATGAAGCTATAAGCTCATGCTGAAACCAACTGGGAGAAGGATGCCATTGATGTCCCTTAATGTCAGAAAGCCTTTTCATCCACCCTCTACAGCCTCCACCAAACAGCTGTGGAAAACCTACCAAAAGAAAAATTGCACACAAGCTTCCATGTAGTAGACAGAAGAGGAATAGAATTGGTTTACTTCTACTCCCTTCCAGCAACTGATTTTTGCTTTAAAAATGAATGTTCTTTACTTTGCAAGAAATACAGTTGGAGAAAATATGAGTCTTAATTAGAATTATTTGTAATTAATAGCAGTACATTATCTACATAGATTAACATTTTATTTGATATATTATTTATCTTCCTGCCTCTGGTTGGCTCAGCTTATTGTAACTGCAATTTTCATTTCCCAAGCAACAGAAAATGGCAATGGGGGGGAGGGCCTTCTAAGCAGTTCAGAATATGAAGAATGATTTTACTTCAAAAAGATTGTCAGAATTCTTCTACCCTGATATACATCCACCTGCAGCTGCAACATATGCAAGAGTAAGCATAAAGATTAGGTTATGGAATTCAATCAATTTTCTATTCTCAGCAGAGAAACGCTGCTGATTTCCAAATGCATATGTTTTAAGATTATGAGACTCCTTATTAACTTTCAGTCCCTCTGAAATCAGTGTGGCAGTATGAGGTACAAGTCAATACTATTCTTTACCCCAATTTTTTACCAACCTACAAAGCATTTCTGTTCTCGAGGCATACTGAGACCCATACAAATCAAGCAATATTTCAGAAAATTCTAATCTATAGTAAGTAGGAATCCTTTTGCCCAGCATGCAGCTCTGGCTCCACTTCTTTTCCCATTTATTTCTTTTTTGTCTTTGAGAGAAAGATGCATAAAACAATCAGGGAAAATAGCTAGCACTTCAGGACACTCTGAGATGGATAATGCAGCCTGACTGGGAAGAAGGGAAGGAAACAGAACAGGTCTCACAAACAAAACAAAACCAGGCTCTGCTGCAGCTTTATCCTCCATTCCAAGCACAGTAATGATTGCTTAAGCAGCTGAAACAGGCCTCAGGACATGAGACAAGAAAAGATTTACCTTTTCAGAGACTACTAGAAAAACTCAAATCTTTATACAGATATTTTGAAGCATAATTATGGTGTGGGTGTTTTTGGTTTTGTTTTTTTTTTTTTTAAACGAAGGTAATACAGACAGTTTGTAAAGCAAACTTCTGTCCTGAAATTCAGTTTATTTGAATAAATTCAGTCAGGTAATTAATTTTGGACTTTAAAAATCTTCCATGATTATTAGTAACTGAAGCTATGTTTATATCTTCTTGAAGGCAATGGGAATTTGCATAGTATTAAACTATAACACACTGCACCTAACAATCAAACCAGCGATGCCTTTACTCCTGGGCTTTTCGCTGTCAACTAGGACCTCTCAAAGTGAACTTTTGGTACTAGTGGGTGATTTGGGCTTTCCTCCAGTGGCCTCTTCCATCAAATTTGGTTGTTACCACTCATCCAAGGCGATAATTAGCTCAGTAATTGGATTTCTTCCTGAGTTGCATTATTCTATGCAAACTGAGTGCAAGTCCTTGGCACTTGCCCTAGAGAGCAAGTGATTCTGTTTGAACATCTTCACCAAAGTCTCCAGCAATTTTAAAGTCAACATCCTGCTTAGTTCCAGAAATATCTATCTCATGTTCTTTTAATCCAGCATTTACATAGGCACCAAGATAATCTACTGGTTTGCATAGCACTGCTGACGCCGTTGTAACTACCACTTCCCTTTGGAAAAGGATAAAGCCACTTGCTATACTCCCCTTGTTCAAAAATACTGCCTCATTTTTCAACCTGGAAAGCGTGTCTTCTCCTGCTTTACTCTTCCAGTTTCCTTAGAAAGGTAGAAAAAAGACTGGATTCAGGCAGCCTGAGGAGCACAAAGCGGATGGTGAGAATAGGGCAAATTGAGGAGAGGGGAAAAAAAAAAATAAAAAAATCATTGCTGTGCTTATTTCCAGAAGATGAAAATAAAATTGCAGCTGTTCTATCTGCCTTGCTGTTGCTGGGTTTTGCTCCAAAACACAAATTCAAGATTTCCAGGATT